CAAAGCAGTTGCTGACATATTTAATGTCAATTGAGTATCACTTTCAGCTCTATATATGTCACATTAAAGTTGCATCAAATGACACTGAAATTGTATATGACTAGTCTCCAGAGGAGGAACTACACATTACGGGCAGGGGGGCATTAGACACTCAGGGTGCACCCACAGCTGTGGAGTATTTGTTATCTGTAATACACCCTTTTCTGCCTGTTGTCTGCAATATGTTTTGGTTAATAATAGTAAGTTAAGCTTTTCAGATTTTCACTCTAAAAGTTGGTACAGAGTTTTGTCTTGTCTGGTTTATTGATATGTTTTGGCAAGAAGCTTTGGACGTGATTCAGACAGCTTTGCATGAACGAATACAGTTTTAATTCAGCTTCCACCCCTCAGAGTAAATGAACAAAGGAAGGTTTCCTCCCAACTGAACATTTTGTGCCGTCAGTGTAGTTATGCTGATGATATTGACGCTTCATGGCTTAGCTCTTATATTGCTATTGTGTTTTTGATGGTTAAATGTCATAAGGTGCTGTCAAGATATGATTTACAATGATGCAAAGCAATTAAACCCAACAGGATGATTAGGTGTGACTGCAATGCTATGGTTTGATTGGCTTGATTACAAAATATGGCCTCCACCACACCTTACAAAGATTCTTGTGAATTTCGTATCAAAGACTCAATTCATTCACAGCCGCTTAAGAAACGTTGCGTTTGATTTAAGACATGTTTCCATTATTGCACATTATTGTTCAGATCATTATAAATGCCCTTGGGGTTTAAAACAAAGAGGCCACTTGGGATTATTGGATGCCAACTGGTCTGGCCACGGGTATTGGCATACACATGCTCATTGGAATAGAGAGAGAGAGAGAGAGAGAGAGAGAGAGAGAGAGAGAGAGAGGATTTACTCTCATGCAAACTTGTGGATGCATGCCTCTTTCCTTGGGTCAGATATAAAGGTCATAAAGCTGACAACTTTTTAAACAAATTGCAAGTCATCGCACCATGAAGTAGATGTTCCTGTAACTACCTCTTCCGCTCTGTGTCATACCTTGTTAAACAGGTAGGGTTTGATGGACAGGAGGAATGCAGGCTGAGAGATTTGTTTTGTAGTGGCAGTCCATTCTTGGAGTGTACTTAAGCAAACAGAGCAGCGCTATGTCCTGTTTTTTACGGGTTTCACACGTCACTGTTCAAACTCTCAAACAGGCTGGTCCCCAAGAGTACATGGAAGAGAGCAAACAGTGCTCTAATACTTCACCACTCTGACCTTCTGCTAACTTGATGCACACATAGACAAACATACACACACAAACACACACCTTTCACTGATTCAGTCAAAGTATGCAGTGCTAAAAATGTGATCTGGGTTAAGGGTTACAAAGACTTGGCTAATGTTGACTTAAAGAAAAGCTGACTTTTATCTTCCTAGTGTTGAAGAGATGAATATAGTTCAGATCTACTTGATGTTACTGACTCAATACAGCTTCAAAATATTCAAAAATACAATCCTTTTTGATTGCACTTAATGAATGACTTTCCATTGTCCACAAAGTGAAATTAACATTGTTTTTAAATGCATCACAGGGCTCATAAACATGGGCGTTGGGTGCTGTATTTCATGTTTAAACAGCATATGAGCGCCCCGTTTTGGTCCTAATTGAGTGCTACTTTAATGTGTGTGGGTCAAATGCACTGGAAAATAAAACTGTGGGAATTCTGTGGGAAAGTTTTGGAGCTCATAAAATGATGGATTTTCAAGTGCTCCCAAATTTCCAACAAAATGTATAGAAACACTACAATGTCTATTTTCATTAATGGCGTGGAAAAATATCGAGGAAATGTGTAGCGCTCCCTGGTTGGTGTGCACAACGGCGTGTCTCGGGCTGATTTAGTTTATGTAAGCATGTGTGAAGCAGTTGGGTGCGTATTTGTCTGGACTTGTGTGTGATTGTTGTGTGTCTTTACAGTACTGCCGAGCTCCCTGCCATGCTGAACATGGAGGAACCAAACAACACCTACCGCGTCTATAGATCCCTCTCTTTACTGTTCTTTTCTTTTTCCGCTTGTTTTAAATCTGTCCAAGATATACGAGGCATTCCTTTGTGGTTGTGTAACATGATTTGAGGCGGACAGAGAGAGACAGAGAGAGAGAGAGAGAGAGAGGTAGAGGTTTTGTCCTGCTGGGTTTTGTGTCCTACTGTGCACTCATATTTCTCTGCTCGCTCCACAGTTGTGAGTACAGCAGGCTTGTCGTTGGCCTCCTCAGCTCTTTCTGTCATGCGTGGCCTACCTTAATCTCTCCTGTGTACTGTAAACCGCCCCTAATAACCCTGAACACGATTAAAGCAAACATGTTAATAACAGCCTGCTTCATTATCAACTCGCAGCAGCAAAATGAGCAGTTAAATTTCACCTCTGTAATCATATAGTTGTGGCCGAGACTTGCTGCTTATTTGCTGTCATAGCAGAAAAATGCAAAACATTTTGGGTATTTCCATTTAATAATTAAAAAAATATGGGCCTTTTAACATTGATTAAAAATGACTATGGATGAGTCTTTTTCTGCTGTTAGGAGAGGCAGCAACACTGGGAGTGAGGTGCAGGATTGAATGGGTGCCGCTCTAGAGGGTGCTGTTTACTGAGGAAACCTGCTCTTCCTCACCCTTCGTCCCAGCTCCTCTCTCTAAATGTTGTGCATTCTGAAAAACATAATGGTCTAAAAACATTCCAGCAGTGTTTTATAATCTTAAATATTTCCTGCTCCGATCTTTGATTTATGTCTAAACGAGTACACAGATGGTTTTTTTTGTTATTGTTGATGAGATTAGCTCCAACACCCGAGGGGGAAAGTCAGACAAATAATATGAAATTTAATTAATAATATCCAGTCATTTCGAAAAGAATGCGAGGTATTGTGCTGCAAGGCTTCTTTGACATGACATTAGGCCACTGTAATCCTTCTGTGTGCATGTGTGTGTCACCTGTAGCTTCCACCCCACACACACACACAAACACAAATGCACACACACATGCACACGCACACACTAAGACATACACATGCCTGCAGATGTTTACACAAGTTTCACACAGCCGACAATAGTAGATGATGAGCTGTCAGTCAGACCACCTTCACTGGGGAAGAATGTGTCCGAGGCGATGGTTACACCTGCGCTGGCTGTGGTTTCCTGCGGCAGTATTGCAGGGTGTAATCCCTAACATCGCTTGTGTTTATGCTTGTGTTTTAGTTACAGGCCTGATACTCGCATGCTTTAGAGCTTAGATGGGACTTCTGCTTCACTTATTCCTCAGCCAGGCCTGGAGGCATCCTCCCCATGCGGCCTGCCACACACAGGCTCATCCTCAGCATGTATGAACACAGGAAACAAACATAGTAGCTACATGTGTCATGCGTCCTGCAAATATCATACAAAAAGAGTCATGAATAAAAGGCCCAATGTCATTTTTATCAAACAATGTGACTGTATCTGTTCAAGTTGTTGTGTTAAAGGACATTTAAAGCCCCTGTGAGCAGTTTTTAACTGGTTGTTAATTGATAGTGATGCCTCTATATGACTTATGGAAGCAAACCAGACCAGAAAATACAAAATTTCTTATCTCTATATTGTTATTTTAATGTTGGTAACCACTGCCATGGTGTCTATCTTAGACAATATAATCTAGAGCATGCTGAGGAAACAGCTTTTTATTTTCATTTCCCATTGTTAAGATTTACAGTGAGTGATACATTTGACTGTCCAAAGAAAGCAGGATGAGATTTTGTGATAGAAAACATTACCTATTCAGGTGCAGAACATACGAACTACTGCTTTGTCCACTGTGGGAGCCGACATTGAAACCAAACATTCCCCACAGGAGCTTTAAGCTTGTACTCTGTTCAAAAGTTAGAATGTGAAAAAAATATATTTTTCTGTCGACTTGGGCTGCCTTAACAGAATCATTTACAGGAATCATTAAATTGAAGCTGCTTCCTTATATACCACGGGTATTTGAGGAGGTCTGTTTCTGTTGTTTTATATGGTTTGTATTCCGTCAGGAGTGACGCCGGCTGCACGGCTGAGGTCATGAATGAGGGCGGAGAAACTTCTTGTGCCAGTGGCTGAACTCACTTTTTATTTTAGTAAATATGCTAAATTTAGACGCGAGCAGCAGCCAGAAGTTCGTCCCAAACTCCCCGAATGACACACCTTTCGAGAAGTGACTCCAGACATCTGCTATTTTTATCATCATCTCCCTTTTTTCCTCTTGTTTTTGCTCCCTTTTTTCTCTTTCTCTTCTTCTGACGGGCCCACTATAAATGATGCAGACCTGTTTTTCATTTCTAAGATTTGTTGGGTGGATTATTATAGAGAGGATCTTTATTCCCACAGAAGGAAGTACATGTATCGGGAGTGTTTTTGAAAACACTCTGCTCTGACGTTAGTGGCAGCAGGGAACCAGTAACAGGTCCTCTCTGCTTACACACCCTACTTACACCGCTTCCAAAGGTCTGAAGTAATGGTTGCATTTCAACCCCTTCAAAGCAAAATGGCCAATTGGATAACAGGATTTGGTTTGCCATTCTGGGGAGCAAACCAAGCAGTGACAGTGCATAAATTTTCATGTGACAGCTTCTCTTCACTAGTACAAAGCTTACACTACATAAAGTCTAGCCGGATAATTACAGTATTAAAGCTTTGTGGTTCTTCTGTATTATGTGACTTTATGAAGATCCACCCTTAGCTCACCTGTTGCCACCGTCTCTGTGCTTCAACAGAAAGTGGTCAGTGTTTTGGAACCTGGTCCTGTGGGTTAAGGATTTGCACCATTTTCCACTCGTACCTCATGTTACAGCCTCTGACATTATTCTACCTAAATTAACCCAGCTGAACACATGGAGAATGAAGAGTTAAGGGCAAGGGTTAAGGGCACAGATAGAAATGAAATACTCTATAGCTCGAGTGTGAAGTGACATTTTTCCTCTTTTCATTTTTTCACAGTGAAGGATTCATAATTCTGGGAATGAGATGTCAAACCTTGAATTGCCTCCCATGGTTTTTTTGGTGAGTATAATCTATGAAAACAAAATGTACTTTCTGTGTGCTTGTGGTGTATCAGTGTTAAAGTTCTCTCCTCTGACTGCTCTGTGTCCCATGGTCCTCACCATATTTCAACATATGTATCCATATGGTGAAATAAATTGTAAAAAGTGATGTAATGCAGACATTATCTCCAGAGTTTGCCTTTGCTATGCAGCACATGTGGCGTACCTTGTTATGATCTGTATCACTGCATATTCAGAGACTTATAGAGCACAAATACTTTTGTATCATCCACTGATCTTAAGAGGGTTATTTGTACATTTATGTAATGACATCTATATTCAAGCAACTCTCTTTATTCATCTCTCCCCCAAAAATTTATTGTTTCCAGCAAGTTTCCCAGAAGGCTACAGCGCAGCTTTTAGCTGTCAAAAATTTGATTATGATTGATTCGATTTTTGTGTCATGCATGAACAACATGCCCAGCCTGAATAAGTCTTACAAGACACAATAATCAAGTGAAAGAAAGCAGAAACCAACAGCAGACATGTAACAGTGATAATGTGTAAAATGTAAATCATCCTCATGTTTCTTCCAAGCCTAGAAACAACTATGTTACCCCTATATTTGCATCTCAACATTACCTACAGTATGTGGGTCCTTTTGAAGTTTTTTTTAAACTTATTTTAATTTCTTATTTTAACCGCCCTGTCTGACTTGGCACCTAAATCTCTGAGCTGCTGCTCTACTCTTTTAATTCCTACGCCCTGCCTGAGACTCTGAGGCAAAATGATCTGTTGTTGGAGTCCTACGTAATTTCAGGTCAGCCAATTTGGTTCCCCCTTTTTGAAATCATTACTCAAAAAGCACACAAAAAATAGTTTTCTGCATTTCTTAATGCAATGGGTTTTTTTATTTTTTTAATCTTTGCTTCATGTAGTTTTTTATTCGTATTTTTATCATTCTGTTCACATGGTTAATGTGTGTTCTCTTTTTGTAAACTAACCTAAGATAACTTAGATGATATGGTTTTATAAGTCAAAGATGATTATGCACCATTGCATTGGTTGAACATTAGCATCCGCAGTTATCAGTCTTGTTTACTCATCAGCAATATGGCATGCCCCAATATCAGTAGCTGATGTATATCTAATATGATGTTGGAGAGCTAGTATAACTAACTGCAAATCAGAGAGGAGGTTTTTATTGGGCAGAAGAAGTCAGCTGTTGGAAAAACGGTGGTTATTTTCAGGGTCAGACATGAAAGAAAACATCAGCAGTGTGAGAGTAGACACAAAGAATTACATTAAAGTAATGAAAAAAAAAAAAAAATGGTAAAATCAATTCTCCAACACCTGCATCAGTATCTGCCCTGATTTTCAGAATCGGTGCATCCTTAAAGTTGATTGATACAACCTGAAAATGTTTTTTTCTTAAACATTGAAAGTCATAGCCATCAACAGTCATCATTTTATGACTGTGCAGTTATGCCTCTTCACTGATTGTACTTAGCCCTTCTCCCACATCCCTCAAGACCCCCTCCCCACTATCATCTCTCCCTCCCCCTTTCAGCTGGTGCACCCCTTTACCAACCAGTGTGTGCCTGTCAGCGTGTCACCCCAGGGTGATGCCCCTCTCTCAGCCCCTTGGGGCCCTTTTGACTCTGCAGCACTCCGTGTTTGCCCAATCATTTGGGAGCCGGATACGGGGATGAATTGTTAACTACAGCAGGTCAGCCTGTGCCCCCCAACCCGCCCCTCAGCCCCCGACCTGCTGTTGACTCATCTCCATGGCGATGGGGCAGGAATTTGTTTTCTCCCATGTATCCGCTGCCAGCCCGCTCCCTGCCACCACTTCCCCTCCTCTTCTCTTCATCCTCTCCGCCTGTGAGCGTCCAATCAGAAGGCAGCTGGAGGGAGTAGCATGGTCAGGAAGTTTTGAGGGTGCATCCCACTGAGCAGAGTGCAGCTGTCACTGGAGGTTTGAGAAGGCCTCAGGGGTAAATGTGTGTGATTTGTTTGGTTGGAGAGTGAGCACAGTCATTAATGATTTTCTGACAATCCTTTACAGGATAAGAAGTGCACATGCCCACACATACACCCGAGTTTTTAGGAGGCTCCGATCACACAAACACGTGGTTTGTAATGTGCAACTTATTATAAAATGCATTCTGTGTAAGCCGCTTAAATCCTGCTCCTGCAGCCATTGTGATTGCCTTGTTTAAAATAATACTTATTCTGTTTATTTTTGCAGTGCAATGATTAAGAACAACTCTAAACAGAGCAAGTCTATCATATATACTGTAGCTGTATGTTCCAGCCTATTTCCACACTTCACATAGCAGAGCAATTCAGCACACATTTACACAGGATTTTCACATTCTTCTCTCGTGATTTCATTATGAATAACAACTACACGTGACTCTGAGATTTATTTTTTCTAGTTTTAGTTTTCCTGAGAAGATCTGATCTTATCTACATACCAACACCGTTCTTCTCAGTCCAGTTCCCATCATTGTCTCAACATATCGACAAATTCGAGTGTGTGCATGTGTGAGTGTGTGTGTTTGCCTCCACGCGCATTATTAGCTCAGGGCAGGTGAGTGTTTGCCTACCTGTCTCCCTTTATGAAGTGAGTGTTTGCCCAAGGAATGCACCACGTCCGATTTGTCATTGACTCTTATTGTTCGGCTCATCCAACTGGTGCCTTGAGGTTGAGTTGCACTGTGCCCCAGCAAGTAAGAAATATGTGCTTTCCTTCCTTCTTTTTCCTCTTTGGCTCAGTGTATTTGCACATGAAAACATGACTTGGGCGGATAAGTATTAGGGATGAGTCCGGTCCCTGCAGCCAGAGATTTAGAAAGAAAATGATCAAACGTAAAGATCCACTTAAAAGTCATGAGAGATAGATTTAGAGCCAGGCCTTTTATCCCCACCTGCGTCTATATGGAATTTTTTAGGGTTTGGGTTAGAACTACACAAAACTCACTTAAAATTTTGCATCATGCAAGCTTCAGTGAGAAAAAGAAAACAAATTGTATGACATAATTGAGTGGGATTACTTCTAACCAGGCTCATCCTACATACATCCTAGATACATATGAACCTCGATGAGCAAAGTTGGCTCCGTTGCTTTGTGGTAATGAGGAAACCTCAGCAAACTAATCCCTCCTACGCACTTGAATGGTTAAGAGAGCCTTACAAATGTCATGTGCAGCTTTTTATTTCTGTTTATTTCGAGATTTTTTGGGGGAAGATCTTAAACAGCTATATTAAAACTAGCGTTTAAGTTCATATTTGTTTAAAGCCATGTATTTCTGGATACCTGCCTATAAAAGGTACATATAGGTACTTGTGTAAATGCGTTAGTATATTTGAGTTTGCGTGCATGTGTGCCTCAGTGTGTTTGTGCGGCTGTCGTCCTGTGCCACCATCTGGGTGGTCCTCACGGCTGGTTTGATGGTAATCCCCCCTGTCCCATAAATCAGTGTCCGGGCTCGGGCCGGGAGCTGATGCTGTGTGACCACTGGAGCGAGGGGGCTTGAGGCACTAAGCCGAGACCCCAGCAGCTGCCCCGGCCTGGCCTGGCCACACGTCAGCTCTCCACACCACCTTTAAAATAACTCGTCATGCATGGCTGACTTCGGGAAATGGCGTACGAGCCACCTCCAACATGAGCCGCAGTAGAACTGGAGCGCAAACTCATAAAATGTTGAAAAGATAAAAATCCATGACTTCTAACCTGAACTGTTTGTAACCTTTTCCCCTCAGTTTCCAGGTTTTTAAAACTTTAAAACTCATTATTGATAATCTTCTTCTTGCAATTGTTGAATAGTTATAAAACAAGGTGTTTGTTCTGACTGTTGGCTAACAACCTGGAGTGACTTCTGATGGCTTTTTACAGAGCTGCTTTCAGTTCAAATGTTTCTGTCTGACTGAAAGTGCTAAGATTAAAGCCATATCTTAGTCTTTGTAGGGCCTATACCTCTCTGAGAGAATGAGGAGGGAGGATGAAGGCTTGTCCGGGCTGTCTGGCTTGCATACAGCTCTCTGCTGAGCTTTTATCTAGGGAGATTGGTTGCAGCTCTCTCCAGATCCAGCTCCCAGGGAGTGCACAGTCCTGAGACCTGTGGCATTAATAAAGATAATGCTGTTTGGAATAATAACAGTCAATTCTACCCAATAGAGGGGAGAGACAACAGACACAAGCATAGTGGAATACAAAAGAAGCCAAGATGAAAGGCTGAAAGGTAGGCCCATCCACTTCCCTGACTTTCTTGTGGGAACTGATGGAACCTATATCAACGTGCTCGCACACAAACAGCACTGAGAGGGACCCTGTGCCGATTTTGACCCTCAGGGGGCATGACGCAGAAATGTAATTTGTTCTTTTGTCTGCCAAGATCACAGAGGGAGAGCAGTGACTTGTTCTTCTTTGTATTCTTACTTATTTTTTTCTCCTGCTCCCCTCCTTTTCATTCTCTCTATTCCCCATTGCCTTCAGTGAGTGCAATTTAGTTTGATGAGCAGGTGGTCTTTTTTTTCAATCTCACAGTGCTTTTGGCTCCCACCTCTGGCGTGTGGTGCTTTCAGTCAGAGTCAGTCATGTAGGCCAGGATTAGAAGAGTGGAGGAGAGGGAGGAGGAGGTGGTCCAGTCTTGGTATTGGCGACCTCAACGCCCTGCAGTCAGAACCATGCAGAGTGCACATTGAAAGAGTTATTTTGTTGCTATAGCTCTCAGCCGCACCCCAGATGGCTTTTGTGCGGGCCTGGGACATGGCTGGGGACAGGGTTAAAGTAACAGAGTCCTTCAGGCTTGGTGAGGCGGTGGGCTCAGCAGGTAGAACACTGCAGGCCAGACACACTGAGAAGGCAAAATGTTGTCGTCTCGGCACTTTTCCACCTTGAATCTGAACAGTGGACCGAAACAAAATAGCTGGATTAGAGCAAAGGGATTACTTAACCTACCAGCACACCCACAAATACACACACCCATATACAGAGTGAGATTAAGGTCTGCA